CTTAATTAATCCAATATGTCTGAGTTAATCAATAACAAAATTACGAATTATCAATGTAAAACCTATATATGACGCTTATAATACCAGCGGAAACTTAATAGCAAAATTGCTAACATAGCCAGGCCCATGCAGTGCTCATAGTGAGGTCCTTTACCATCTACAAAGCCTCATTAGGCATATAAAATACAGTACATTAAAGATCAATGAGCAATGTTGTATCTACATATATATAAATGTATTCTGTATGAAAAGCAATAGCACTATCATTAGCATCATTATTACTCATTAATATAAATTTAGTTTCTTAATTACACACTATTTTTCATTCTAGCTCACGATTGAGTAAGGAGCTCCAAGCATAGTCCGATGCAAGCTTTCGTAATTTATTTGCATGGGAACATTTGCCGTCAAAATACTACGAAAATAGAAAATTCCTTAAGTCTACATCATGAAACAATATAGCTGAGATATTTTGGCTTCAACGATTAAAGCTACTTGGCCTTGACATATACCAGTTCCCGAGGATTTCTTAACAAAATAGCAGCAAGTGTGTCCATCATAAATGTAAGAAAACGTTTGCATTGGATTTCCCTTTGCGATAAGGCATAAAAAGCCGCTCTCCTTCAATATAGATCACAGGTTTCCTTTAAAAGGACTTCGCATAAACTCCATCCTCTCTTGCTGCGGTATCCGAAAAGTCTACGTTCATATTAAGAAGCAAGCACATCGCCCCCAAGCAAACTCGTCAAAATATAAGCGTGACTCTTAATAAAAGCCAAGCATCTGCAAAGGGAACTTATGTAAATTAACATAACTTGCTGAACAACATGCATTAAACTAAATAGGCTACTCAAATATTTATAGAGCTTTGCCAATCTCAGCAATCAGGAATTTAAGTATCCCCAATAAGCAGCAATTTCGTTTAAGATTGTAGGAATGCCTCTCGTCAAATAATAAACCAACCGAAATTATGATAATTATGTAAAGAAAATACCCGACTGGGAGCTAAAAAAGATTAAGTAAGAAACAAGTGAAATACAAACAATGTTAAAATTGCTAAAGAGATTGTGTACAATACATTTTTAGGCGTCACATCGGCATGAAAGGAATACAGACAAAAACTTAAGGCTAATAAAAAGATTTGTGCAGACAAAGAAAAGTAATAAAACACAGTTATAGGACGATATCTCACCCGAATAAATCGGTCGGTTTTAGAGTTTAGCCACCTCAATACATCGAGTTTAAACGATTGATGTGAATCAGAAAATGGGTTCTTTTAAAGAGGCAACAGTTCAAGCAGCTGTCTATTGTAAAAAAATAAAGTATAATGATTAATAGTGCCATTATAAGGATGCCCGAAGTGGTTTACAGCAACAGAGATATGCGGATAAAAAATAAGAAATTAAACAAGCGTAAAAAATTAATGAGCATAACTTACAAGTATAACATCATTACGAATTGTCAACATGTTAAAAATTACGATAATGGGTTAGCAATCATTTGGGGTAACAGAACAATAAATGAGGGTACAACGCAAACAGCCTAAGATAAGGGAACATGAAATTGAGCTATTCATAACAGTTTAAGCAGGAATTTCGAGAAAAATATTGAGCTTACATTAAAAAGATCTAGTAGCCGAAAGTGATTAGTAAGACCATGGCACCACCCAACACATTACGCCCTTGACAATTGAATCGCCGCTTGCTAATTAATAGCACGCATGAACTCATTAATAATTTACTTACGCAGATTTTCTTTATAATCTACTGTTACTATAGGTAAATTTTATTAAATAAACCCCTATTTAGTGTCACACACTGTTCGTCTTTTTAAAACAATTTCGTTATATGTAGAATGAACCTATGGGCAATCATTTTGGCCCTCATTTAAAATGTATTTAGGCAAATTGTTTTGTCGCATCTATAGGAAGATGGGCGAAGGAAAAGAGAAAAAAGAACTTTAAGCAACCCTGGCACTTTCTCCTATTATGCTATCTTTCAGAGAGAAATATGACCAAGTTATTGATATCCTGCTGCTACATAAAGTTGGGCAAAATCTGCTCGCGTTAGATTAAAGACTGAAGGAATGTCGGTCCGCCATTCGTAGAAGACGACCCGACCCGCTGGCTTGACGGCGGTTGCGATCCCTACACCGCCCAGCATTTAGATTAGGCTAACCGGCCAAATAAGACGCACGAATCCGCGTAATCATGACTGTCTATTTTAGTATAAGTTTTTAAACATTTTCGAACCCAGTAAACTACTTGTTATAAAGAGATGTAGCCGTAGTTAACATACATATGCACAAGCATATGCGAACATACACACACACACACACACCCTACATATGAATATATCAACACGGCCTGCCCCCGTAATCGCGCATTTTCAGTCGAGATTTCGTCTTGGGCACAAGGGCCGACAATCGCCCCGTTTAACTCACAAATTCGCAAACATGCGAACATACAAACACACACACACACATCCCACACAGTATATCAGCATGCCTTGCGCTCGTACTAGCGCACTCTAAGTCGGGGCCTCGTCTTGGGCACAAGGGATGATATTCGCTCCGATTTCGGACGTTTCGGACACACAGATGTGCAGACAAACGAGAGCACACACAGATGTGCGCACGTGCAGCCACAAATATTTGCACGCGTGCAACCTCACATATGCACATTCACATGCACGCACGCACACACCCACTCGCACTTTAAGCCACAAGTAGA